CTCCCACCCACCCCTTGCATGCATCCTGTTTCGGTACAGTGCCACGTCAGCAGTGCCAGATCAGCTGTGCCACGTCAGCAGTGCCAGATCAGCTGTGCCACGTCAGCAGTGCCACGTCACAGTGCCAAGTCACAGTGCCACGTCAAAGTGCCAAGTCACAGTGCCACGTCAGCAGTGCCACGTCACAGTGCCAGATCAGCAGTGCCACGTCCACAGTGCCAAATCAGCAGTGCCACGTAAGCAATGCCACGTCAGACACAGTGCCACGTCAGCATGCGACGTCAGCAGTGCCACGTCAGCAGTTCCACGTCAGCAGTACCACGTCAGCAGTACCACGTCAGCAGTACCACGTCAGACGCAGTGCCACATCAGCAGTGCCACGTAAGCAGCATTGCCACGTCAGCAACATGACGGGCTGCCAGGCCAACTGACCAATGAGACCATTGCCGCCTACAAGCAGCGTTGCCTGACTCAGATAGAGGCTGAGGAACAACGCCTGCTGGCAGTCGAGGCTGCCCGCATACAAGCTGAAGAGGCAGCAGCAGCAGAGAAACTGCGGCTACAGGCCGATGCAGAAGCAGATGTCCAGGCTCGCCGAAAGGAAGCCCAGGATCTGCTGCAGGGGCATGAAGCCAACAGCATCGACAGACTCAAGTACTGGCATTTTCAACCGAACGGCGATGACGCAACACCGGAAGAAAAGCACAAGGAGTTCCTCTCCAAACTCGTGACGCGGTTGTTGTATGCTTGCAACTACCAAAGGTCAGAGTTGGAGAGACAGCACCGRGACCTGACGCAACAGCATCAGGAATTGGCGACGCTCCGCCGCACAGTGCAGAGCCACGAGGATGCAACTCGGGCACTCAATGCCCGATTGTTGGACCTGGAACAGGCAGTACCAGGACCAGCTGCTGGAGCTTCCAGCAGTCCACCCTCAAGCCGCCAACAGGAGGACCGCATTGACCACGTAGTGGCAATGCTCGGCGACATCAGCACCTTCGCTGCGCCGACCACCACCATCAGCAGTGAGCTGCATACATTGAAGACCGAGGTCCAAAAGCTGCAGTCGACGAACGCGGACGACAATCCGAAGACGTACAAGATGCCAACTTTCAACCTGGAGAGGTTCGACGACTACACGCCGCAGGATCCCGTCCTCTGGTGGGAAGCATTCACAACGCAACTCAGGATTCTGCCAGTAGCCAAGCATGCGTACATCGGCGCCCTGTTCCTGAACTCAAAGGGTGGATGCCAGACCTGGTTGAGCCACCTGGCAACCTCCCACGACGTCGACGTACCAGACTTGAAGGACGTAATTACATGGGAGGAACTGACATGGCTGTGGAAGAAGCGGTTCATCGTCGACGACGCGCCGGCACTCGCCATCAACCGCTTGTTCACCATGTCACAGCGCAACATAGCAACACGGGACTGGCTCACGGAGTGGCAGAAGATTGCGGTTGTGCCCAATCTGAACCTACCATTCGAGCATCTACATCGTGAGTTCTACAACAGGTCCTGTGCGGCATTGAGCCAGGCTCTTGGTGATCGCGAGCAGTACTCAACCTTCGCGGAGATCATTGACAAAGCGAGG